ATGGATGTGAGGGAGAAACATCAATCTACTACCTCCTGCACACTCTCTACTGGGGATTGAGCCCAACCTGGGCACGTGCCCTGACCGGGAATTGAACCAGGACCTCTCAGTCCGTGGGACGATGCTCGGTTCACTGAGCCACACCAGCTGGGCTTGAGTTTATTCTTTTGTAGGTATAAGTTGGTGATCCAGTTTCATTTTTTTGCATGTACCTGTCCAATTTTCCCAATACCATTTATTGTATGTTCTTGCCTTCTTTGTCAAATGTTAATTGACCATAATGACGTGGATAGATTTCTGGGGTTTCTGTTCCACTGGTCTATATGCCTGTTCTTGTGCCAGCACCAGGCTGTTTTGATTACAATGGCTTTGTAGTATAGTTTGTTATCTGGTATTGTGATCCCTTCAATTTTGTTTTTCTAAGAATGTAGAATTTGTGAATCTTCTGGCCCAGGGCTCCTCTCAGGAGAAACAAATCCAATTTCTTAAAAATAATTGATTTAAGCAATGGTAGTTGGTGGTACTTTCAGGTGTGTATTTACAAAGCTACCAGGAACATATCATCCTTCCATGAAAGAGTGTTATTCTTCCAAAGAACTAACATGAACTCAAAAGACTGAATTATGCAGGGTCCCTTGGAGGCTATGTGTGCTGTGATGGCTTCTAGGTGGGACTCAGTTCTAGGCCTTGGGGACCCTCTCCTCAGATTGCCCCAGACATCACATCCCCTGAAACACTGATCAGAACCCGTTCATCAACCAAAGATAACTGCATATACTAGAAGTCTTGGAGGACATGGCTGAAAATGTAACAAAATTACTTCAGCTAGAAAGTATCATGAAGTTTCTGAGTCACCACACAATTCAGAACAAAATTAAATGACCAGGGTAGATCATGTTTAAAACACACGTACAAAGTGACTCTGGATTGTGATATATTATTCCCTAAGGAGAAAAATAAAGATTGTGACCAAGATTAATCTAATCTAATTAATTAATTAATCTAATGCATCCCTTACTCTAATTTCCCATGGAGGAAGTTGAAAGCCAAAACTGTCATTGAACTTGCCCATGAATTCAGAGATGACCAAACCCTCTCGACTCATTCCTGCCCTAATCTCAGAGGAGCAGGACCAAGTCTCTGAGGCCTGGAGCACCTCTGTGTAGAGCTTGGGGCTTTGATTTCCTTTTTGGTTCCTGTTGACCACCAAAACACCATGACTTGTTGCTTTATCTCATCTTTTTCTATTCCATCATTGCTGTTGTGCCTTTTAAATGCAATCTTTCCATTTAGATATATTTCACTGAAGATGATTAAATATCATTCATACAAGGAACTGTCTTTCCAGATATCCCCAAGTCATCCATTTCAGGTTTTAAGTCACGTTCATTCCCAAGGAGACTTTCAAAATAATTTATTCACTCATATTTCTCAGTAAGTTTCCCTTGACTGCCTGTTCTGTGTTAGCAGAGAGAGTTTGAGGGTGATGATCTGCATTGCTGATAAAGACCCCCTGCCCCCCGCCAAAGAAACCCTCAAAGAGCATTGTCCAGTATTTCATCCATTTTTAGTGAATGGTGATGAGGTGGTATTATTTAGGATTATACACAATTAACCCTGTTGGTTGACTCTGCTTAGATACTGAGAAATAAAGAATTCTCTTCACATTAAGACCAGGCAGAAATGAGCAATGCTCTGGGAGAATTTTTAGGTATATGTTTTTCCCCAGTGTTTGGTTTTAGTTTTCTCTCCATTCTCTAAATGTTTCCTTAAAAAAAGTACCTAATTTTCTTTGTTAGAAACTTAGTTTCCCTGACCTTCTCTTTTCCTCTGTGTTCCTAATGGTCCTTGAAATGAAAATATTTTGTTGAGCTTCCTGATTTGTACTTGGGCAGCCTACTCAATGGCTCTTAAGAGAATAGCTGGTGACCTGTGGTTTTCTGTTGAGAGAGAATGCACATTTTGCATTCTGGCATCTAAACACAGGAGGAGATTTAAAACCAAAGACATCCATGGCTAGATAGTCATCTCCAGTGTGGCACCAAGCATTCCTTTAAAGCAAAATCTCAATTTCTAATCTTTCATCACTTGGGTCTCACGGATGAGTTTGCCTTTATGAATGCAATACTGCATCAACAAAGGCTTACCTCAAGTCAAATATTTCTTCTTGAAAACCCTCCACCCTGTGAGATCATTGCTCACAAGAACGTAATACTCTAAATAATGACCTTTTTTTGGGCTACAAATTCTGGGTTTAACTTTTTAAAATTTTCTCCTAAAATGGTTAGTGTGGTTGTGACTGCTCCTTCACTATGACTGTTTCCTTACTGGGACTGTTTCCTCATTGGTGGTTCTGTGACAATGATGTGTGATCATACTCTCTTCATCTGGCACTAACGGGCCAGAGTCTCCAGAATGATTCTTTGCATATCATGATCAGACACACTGTAATCCAAGTCTCAGGACTAACGCTCCCTTCTTGGCATATGTGTATGACTTACTTTCTGATTTCTCAGTTTAGTGCTTCCAGGCTCCGGGTTGCTGAAGTTATTCAGTAACTGTTCTTTGAGTATAACTTCTCTTGGCAGAAATCAGCCCCAATTTCTTCCTGTTTCAATATTGTTGACATGGCTTTGACTTGAGTCTTAGTACTTTTGTGTTCTTAAAATATCCCAAATAGTCCATTAATTCTACCAACCAACCAACCATCTAACTGAAAAAAAAACAAAAAACAAATCTGTCAAACTAGTTATTTGAATCATTAGAGTGGGATTATGTTGCTGTATATTGTACAATTAAACTGGGATTATATCACATTGTATACTGTGGATTCCAGGCATATCATATGTCAATCAAATTCTCGTTTCTAGGTTTGATGGATTATCTTATTTAGAGTGGCTGAAATGATGTGAAATGTGGCTGGGATCTATAGGAAAAACAGATGCTATTTCAGTACTATACCTACAAAAGTTTAACTTAATGTGTGTGATAATGATTTAGTATGGAGTTGAAGGGCACTGGATGGGAGGCAGAAACACTGAGATCTGCCTCAGCTCCATCACAAAAAATCTTTAGCTCATCTAGGCCTAAATTCCCTCGTCTGTATGAGGGGATGGGACTACAGTTTCTGAGGCCTCTTCTAGCTCTGAAAAGTTAAGACTTTCCCTTAAATGGAGACCGGTTGTCCCTTCTCAACTGTGGAAAACGGTATGGACCATTAAAGGACCCTTCTTCAGATTTCTGTCTCTTCTTATCTTTGGTTTCAGGATATAACTGTATTCAATCTTATGGCAGAAAACACATTTTTGTGAAATAAACTACGTCTTGCCATGACGTAGTTTAATTTGGATACATGATTAATTTGGTGTAATGACATGAACTCCTTTAGGTTGCTTTGTTGTTTATTATTTTATTCAATCATTAGCTCATGAGACCTCTAGGAGCCTGTGCTCCACCCACACACGAACAGTCTCTCCAGGACCTGGTTCCAGGAGGGAGCATGACCTTCCCACTGTGAATGAGTTCGTCCCCGTGGCCCCCTGGGGAGGTGATGGCCTGGGAACCATTTGCCTCTTGAGTGTACACATGCAGACAATTCTTGGCAAACATACTGCTCTCGATTTTTCATTCACATCAATGAAAAGTGGAACGGCCCTCTAGCAAGATGTAACAATGCAATAATGTAACAAAACTGGCTGACGGCACTTCATTTATTACAGGGCTAAATGCTCATTACGTTCGTAAAGAATGAATTGATAACCTTGGCAGAGTTAAGTTTATACACGGTTGATTTCCATTTACAAAGGTAGAAAGTCCTTGTTTTCTCGTCAAGCTTTGACTTACAAAACTCCCGTTTTCTTTTAGGTTGTGAGGTGTGTGTGTGTGTGTGTGTGTGTGTGTGTGTAAGAGAATGTTTAGCAACTCAACTGGGGAGAAGGGAAATAGAATTTGAAATGTGGAAGAAGGGAAAACACATTTCAGAAATTTTAAAAAATAAGCAAACAAAACCCGCAATACTGAGGGGTTGTCCCGGAAGGTCTTAACAGAAAAGACCCACACCAGAAGCTCCTGTTTTTATGTGCTTCCTTCGGGAGCAGAAGGGACTAGAAAGACTGGATTTTTCTAATGGAAGAAGTGTGAATCTGAAAATTCTTAAACTAAAATTGGTCTAATTTCATGCTGCAAAAGGCACTTTGCTTATGCAATTGAAATAAAAAATAAAGTGCCTACCTGGGTGTTTCTAGGGTAATTGTAAGCAAATGAGCCTCATTAGAAGCCTTTGCAGTCTGTAATTAAAAGCTAGGAAGTAACTCACTCTGTGGTAAAAGATCCCTGGATGTTTGGAAGAGTCCTACAGAAAGGACACAACACCTTCTTGGGCTTGGTACTCACAGATCTAGCTGCTAAGTACACCTATGGAATAAAGACTATGGGAAATCGGGAGAGACAATATTGTAGTACCCGTTGTATTTGGAAATGTCATTTAAACAGAATGGGAGCTTACCCGGGCAAGCTGAGAAGTACAGTTGTCCCCCTGATCGATGGGTTCCAAGAGCCCTAGCAGATGCCTGCAACCAAATCCGGGATGTACTATGTTTTTTTCCTTCCCTATACATACTCACCTCTTCACTTACAGGAAGCACTTTACATCTTCTCTGTGGCATATCCAAATTGCCAGCATCACTACTCTTGCACTTTGGGGACATTATTAAATAAAAGAAGAGTTACTTGAACGCAAGCACTGCAATGCAGTGACAGTCGATCTGATAACTGAGATGGCTGCTAAGTGGCCAACAGACAGGCTGCCTATACTGTGTGGATACCGTGGAAAAGGGAGGCTCATGCTCAGAGTGGACAGAGCAGATGGTGCAGGATTTCATCACACTCCTCAGAAGGGCACGGAAATTTGAATGAATGGTTTGTTTCTGAAATTTTTCATTTAATATTTTCAGACCACAATTGACTTCGGGTAACTGAAACTGTAGAAATGGAAACCACAGATAAGGGGGTGGGGATGGGGGGAACAACTGTACTTTCAGTTGAAGCAAGAGTAAAGATGGAGGCACATTGGTTAACTTCTGGGGATTTTTGAACGCTTACTTTTTCATGCCCCATGGCCAGAACCTTCCTTTAGATCGGTTATTATTGGCTATGGGGGAAAGTGTGAAATTAAGGGAGGAAAAGGAGATGCAACAGGGAAGTGAGGGGGCAGGAAAGTTTACTTCGCTGAATAACAAACATTTTATATGATAAGTCTGCCATACTCTTCCCCCAATCAATTTGGTTGAAAAGCGAACATACTACTTTCTTAAACACAGTTCATTCTTAATTTGCCAGGACAACATATAATACAGAAAAAACAAAGCTACCTATCAAAGTAAGCATTTCCAGGGAGAATCTTTGGCAAAAAAATGTAACCTGCAACAATTCAGAGAGCACTTTCTTTCAACCAGGTTCACAGATCATGGCTCTGAAATTTCCAAAAGTTTAAACGTTTTCTTGTGTCTTCTTTTCGTCAGGCATCCGGAGGTACAAGTTGGTTCTAATAGCTTTGGCAGAAACAGGCTGAAGACAGAAACAAATATAAAATACTTTGTCTTTAGGCTGATTTGGCATAGATTTGTAAGGCCTGAGTAAACTGATAAATTAGTACGTTTCTTAAAACAATACGAATGATTGTAAGACACGTAGGTAGAAGAGCAGACTCGGAAAAAGAGGTTAGTATTGTATTCCCATGTTTGGTAAAAGACATCGAGGAAGGCCACCAGGCCCGAAACCGGGTGCCCTCGTCTTCCTGCGATGATGTGGGTCAGCTTCGTGAGTCCACGGCGGGGGAGGCGCACGGCGGTCTGCTCCCACGTGGTCCGCAGCGGCGAGGAACCGCCGGGCCTTCCCGTGGTGACGTGCGCTCTGGGGCAGGGAGGACGTGGCAGTGGCTGCGGCGGTGCTGGGAGGGCCGGGGCGGAGAGCAGCGTCTGTGCGCAGGGCCTCCTCCGACGGGCCCTCCGCAGGGGCTTAGGCCGCAGAGGCGGCGGCGTTCTCACCCGTAGGTGGGGGAGGGGGTGTCCCGCCACCTCAGATAATCGAACAGCAGCGGTGACACACGGAGCAGTGTTTCTTCTTCTTCTTGGGGTGGAAGATGGTGAGGATTGCTTCATCGAAGACCGCTTTGAGCCCTTTCTGAGTCAGGGCCGAGCACTCCAAGTAGCACTGTGCTCCGATCTGCAAACCAAGGCGACAAAGGCGTGAGAGGAGAAACCGAGGCGGCCCGCGGGCAGGTTTGCATTAGGTTTTTTTTCTTTTTCTTTTTCTTTTGCATTTTATTTTGTCTCTGCTATCCTGAATTTTTATATATTTTACTCTCTGCCATTTATAATCAATGGTCATGGATCACTTTTGGTGAGCAATACATTCTGAAAGTGATCCATAACCAGTTATTGCTTAGATAAGAATATAAAAATATGAAATTAATAGAGGATTGTGATATGGTTTCAATATATTTTGTGAACAACAGGCCTTAGCATCCTCTCCTTTGCACACAGAACGTGTAAATTTGGTACCAGTAAAATGTACCTATCTCCTGTACACAGCAAGGCAAAGTTTATCAGCCTTGGTTGATGAAACATATAGAGTGGGTGTTTGGTTTTACAGCTCATTCTTGAATAAAATGAAGTTTTGATAAGGTATCTCTCAGCAAGGTAATGTCCAATTGATGTTATTATTTGGTTTTAAGATACTTTCAAAGGCATATTTTAAAGGAGTTAAAAAACCTAAAGCATGGCCCGGCCTGTGTGGCTCAGTGATTGAGCGTGGACCCGGGCACCAAGAGGTTGCTGGTTCTATTCTGGTCAGGGCACATGCCCAGGTTGTAGGCCAAATCCCCAGTGGGGGGCATGCAGGAGGCGGCCAGTCGATGTTCTCTCTTGTTGATGTTTCTCTCTCTTCCCCTCCCCCTCTCTTGCTAATATCAATAAAGAAAAAAAATGAAAAACCCCCAAAGCATGTAAAAATAAAAATGATGAAATGCATTTATTCACAAAGACACCCTCCTTGTCAGTAGAAAGTCTATGTTAAATGATAAAATAGTTTGTGCTTGCTTAAGGCTTTATTTCAAAGCTTTTAATGATTTCGTACTACGGCATATTTGATAATCACAAAATCCCTCTGAGAAATATAGAAATTCAGGCCAGAACTTTTGGTTCTCATTAGAAAAACAGTAGGGCAGAGCAGACCATGTTTTGCAGTCAACTTCGGGAGATAATTCCTGACACGGAGATCCAGAGTTTATGAGAACTTAAACTCAGTATGAGCCAAAAGTTTGATGTGGGCCTTTTAATATTAAGGACATATAGAAACATGCTTCTATTATATGCTCACATTATAAGAATAACTGAAGAATCAAAGTAGGTTTAGAAGAGGGTAGCTGGATAGTGAGCTCCTAGAAACCACAGCAGAGAAACGACTAAATCAAGGTAGCAAAACCACCTGTGTATTAGGGCCAGTAGCTTATGCAAATAAGCAGGGCTGGTGTCACACGATAGGGAGAGGTGGGGACTGTGGTGTTCTGCAAAGTGCATGCCACCTCTAGAGCTGGCATATTACTCAGCTTTTGACAATTGTTGCCATGCAGGAATGTAGATTCACTGTTGCCCGGCTTTATATTTTTCAAGAGGAGTTGGACCTTTGGATTTTTAATATTTACCAATTTTTAAAATGCTCTGTGGGCAAAGCAAAACACTGATGAGGAATATGTTTGACAGCAGCCAGCCCGTTTGTAATGTGTGGACTTAAGAAATGTGTGGCTTAGCTTAGAATACAGTGGGAACAACCCCAGAAGGTAACATGCCTTGTTTACGGACATCCAAACAGAAAGTGAAAGAACTAGACCTAGAATCTAGGTCTCTCTTCTGTGTGTTCTTTGCCTTATTCCATGACAGTAACAGTGACCCTTCTCACTCAGCTTCTCTGAAAGAAGCTGTTTAAGTAGACAGTCAATGAAGTAAGGCTGCCCAGTCATTTGAAAGCCCACAGATATAAAAATGAAGCATGAAAATTGTTCTGATTGGGTCTAGATATTATGCTGTGTGTGTGTGTGTGTGTGTGTGTGTGTGTGTGTGTGTAGAGTGGTTACTGAATTAGTCAAAGGAAAACACTTAGAGAAGAAGTATTGGATCTTGAAGATCTATTTTACGGCTTTCATTTGCACCACGGCATGGCCTTTGGATTAGAACATAACTTGTTTCTCTTTATAATGATAAACAGTTGGATGCAAGAGAGGGATATTAGAGAACATTTTCCTAATAATGTCATGTTACATTTTGGGATTGTGTCCAATGCTCAAGATGAACACATGTGAAAAACACACTACCCTAATGAATGTGTCAACTTGACTGTTTTTAGTGTGCTAGCTCTTGTCAGTCATCCTTAAAAATACCCAGAAAGCACTGTGGGCCATTCTGTCTGGAATACCTCTCCTCAGTGAATTCCGAAGTTTCAAGAGAGCTGGGCTGAGCTCGGCTCATACATGAGTTCTGGGCCGTCTGGTCCTACAAGATGGGCCCGTGTACTCTCTCCTCGTCCCCCACACAGTGCTGCTCATGTGTCATAATTTGCCTTTTGATGGTGCAGGAGGAGCCCAAACTTGTCTTTCCCAATTCAGACATTTCTGAAGATAATGAAGTGGTAGACAAGGAATTCCTGTGTATCTGGGTTACTGTAACATTATTTTGTACTCACAATTCCAGGAAAAGTAGCAAGCAGATTTTGAGTGTGACTTGGGAATTGTGTGTGAGAAACAGAACCCAGTTACGAGGTGAATATTGTTAACCACGTAGCAAGTGCTCTGAGGGTCAGAGAGAAGAATTCATCCTCAAGGGGGGGGGGTCACAGCCGTGTTATAGGGAATGCTAAAGAGCAAACAAACGCCCCCAGGGGCCCCCAAGCCCAATGTGTACCCTCAAAGATGTGCAATGGAATATTGTTTCTGCTTTGCTTATGGAGGCAGCTACATCCTCTGCCCTTTGGAGCGAAGTGACTGCACAGCCCAGGATTTCGGAGCAGCCCGTCAGAGCTCAGGCTGTGCAGACCTTGTTCAGATATACCTGTTAGCAATCTGGAACGGGCCTCACCAAGATGATTTATTTTTAAGAAAAAAAAAACAGAGAATTCCAAAATGGTGGAGTGAACGGAGCTACACAGACCGTCTCCCAGAACCAAACTGGAATTACAACTAAAATAAAGACAAATTGACGGGAAAAAGCAACAGAAAAGCAGCTTGCGAGGACCATACAACGAGGGACACTGACTCCATCCCGGTAGGCTTGCGAAGGCGCGAGACGGGGCTGGGAGCCCACGGTCGGCAGCTCGGCAGCGGCCTCAGCTGGGAGCAGCGCCCTCGGGTCACACTCCCAGGCGGCTCCACAGCGCAGCCGGGACAGAGGCTGAAACAGCCACAGCCACTCACCTTGGGCTCCGGCAGAGGGAGGGCGGACTGGACTGGAACTGTGGGGGGACACTCGGGATTTGGAGGGTGCTCAGAGCTTTGGCTGAGTGCAGCCACGCAGGACAGTAGCCATATTGCTCCTTCCCAGGGCTCTGGGGAGAGGCAGCAGCCCCTCCCTCGAGATCCAACCCCACCCTGTGGGCCATTGAAGTGCTAATTGAGGCTCACAAACAACCAGCATCTGCCCCACCCTGGTGAAATCCCCTTACGCTGAGCACCTGAGGGAGTTTTTCAATCAACTGACAACCCAAAACTCATCAAGTAACCTAGACTGCTAGCCTCCAGGCAAAAAGCTAGCTGATAACAATACCTTTCCTGGGCTGGCAACTGTAACCAGGAAAGTAAGACTTGACAGTGGTGTTCAACGTGGGTCCTCCCTCGCTCATCTAAACCCAGGAGAGGGAGCCACAAACAGCAGAACACCAACACCCACAGGGAGAACTTGACAGGCTCCAAAGCCCACAGTGATAGCCAAAATGGTGAAACATAGAAAACAGAAGCCAAATGAAAGAGCAAGAGACCTCCACCGAAGATGAGATCAATGTGGAGCAGTTAGGCATGTTAACAGAGCTAGAATTCAGAGCCATGATCTCGAGGAACCGCAACAGCATGAGTAAGGGCATAGAGACGTGGAAATTAAACCAATTGGAAATTAAAAACCATCAAGAAGAGATAAAAAATGACATATCAGAAATGAAAAACACATTGGAAGGTTTAAAAAGCAGAGTAGAGGAAGCTGAGGACCGGATCAGTGATTTAGAAGACAGGGTAGAAAAAATCAACCAATCAGAAAATCAAAAGGAAAAAACTATTAAAAAACAGGAAGACAGCTTAAGAGAACTGTGGGACAACTGGAAACGTAATAATATTCGCATCATAGGAGTCCCCGAAGAAGAAGAAAATGAGCAAGGGATAGAGAATATATTAAAAAAAATAGTGACAGAAAACTTCCCTAATTTGGTGAAGGAAGAAGGCATTCAAGGTAAAGAAGCACAAAGAGCCCCAAGTAAGAAGAACCCAAACAGGCCCACACCAAGACACATAGTAATTAAAATGCCAAAAATTAAACACAAAGAGAGAATCCTAAAAGCAGCAAGAGATAAGCAACAGGTTACCTACAAAGGAAACCCCATAAGGCTTTCAGCTGACTTCTCACAAGAAACACTACAGGCCAGAAGGAATGGCATGAAGCAATCAAGGTCATGAAAAACAAGGATCTACCCAGCAAGGCTATCATTCAAAATAGAAGGTCAAATAAAGAGCTTCCAAGACAAAAAAAAAAGGCTAAGGCAATACATTAGCACCAAACCAACACTGCAAGAAATGTTAAAAGGACTGCTGTAATTAGCAGGAGAAATGGGAAGAAAAATAGAACCACACTAAACAAAAATGGCAATAAATAACTACATATCAATAATCACCTTAAATGTAAATGGATTGAATGCTTCCATAAAAAGACACAGAGCAGCTGATTGGATAAGAAAGCATGACTCATCCATATGTTGTTTACAAGAGACCCACCTCACAACAAAGGACTCACATAAATTGAAAGTGAAGGGATGGAAAAAAATTTTCCAAGCAAATGGAAAGCAAAAAAAGGTGGGGTAGCAATACTCATAACTGATAAAATAGATTTCAAAATGAAGGCCATAATTAGAGACAAAGAAGGACACTACATAATATTGGAAGAATCTATCCAACAGGAAGATATAACCTTGAT